GCTCTTGTTCCCAGAAAGAAATGGTCCTACTGGGTGCTGAATGATGATACAGGTGAGTACATGGAGGATGGACAAGCTCACGCAGCATCCTACCATCTTCTCACTGTGCTTTGCCCTGTGTGGGGAGACAGTGCTCCTCAAAGGTGGAGAACCGTGGGGCAGGGAGGACGGAGCCCACAGGAGACACTCTTTTCCCTCCAGCACTGGGCAATTGGCAGTGGCTTGCACAACAGTTTGTTCCTAGAGATTCTATGGATATTTTGAAACCTCCCAAAGAGTTGACAAACATGGATCTGAGGTGTTGCTCATTGGTACAGTGTTTATCTGGCATGTGTAAGGCCAAGTAGGTTCAATCCCCAACACTCTAAAAACAAATAAATAAATAAAAATACTGGGTAAACCTGGAAGGAGTTTCTGAGTTCACACTCCCAGAATGTCATTCCAAGCCCAGAGAATGAATTTGGTAATCATCTATCCTTGACATGGCTTATTGGGGTTCCTGTGCCCAGAGGTTACACTCCCTTGCATAAGGACTGGTGGTATTCAGGAATGATTTGGAAGTCATGATATTAGCCATTGGGTAGCTAAACAGAATGGAACTTACTGGAAAGATGTGGGATGCTCACAGGAGGTCCTGGCTCAGTGAAGGTTGAGAGTAAGGAAAGGCCGTGTGGGTGATCCATGGGACACAGGAAGGCAGGCTGAGAATACCAACAGGCAGGAAACCTAGTCTTCACTGCACACTTTAGGTGGAGCCCTGCCTTGCTCACCCAGTCCTCAAGGGCAAGCTTGTCTGGAGTCGGTATCTGCCAACTGGAGGGGGAGCAGTGAAGTTTCTCCTGCCCCCTCCTGCAGAAAAACCGGGAGGTCACACCACCTATTTGTCACTTGTCTGCAGTGGGCCTGGCCTGAATCTAGTCCTGCCTGGTCACAGCATATGTGTTAGGGATTGTTGGGTCAGGGAGACAATTTAATGCAATGATTCCTGTTGGTGCAATGGTGGTGCACCTGGTGGTCCTGGTCCCCTGAGGCAGTCAATTTAACATTGTGTGTGTTTACGGACAAACTGGACCAGTGGAATGCTGGCAGCTGCCTCTCACCTGCTTGAGGGAGCCTACTGTTAACTTCCCCAGACCCTTTCAAACTGGCTGAGGTCATGCTGAAAGTTTAAAACTGGCCCTGATGGGAGTGTTTACACCACAGAAATTGGCCAATGCCATGTCAAGCCTACTTGTTTTTCTTTTTCAGAGAACAGTTATTAAACCAGTGTACATGCTCACACACACACACACACACACACACACACACACACACACACACACTCCCTTACATTTCCAGGACATACTGTGCTTGGTCTTACTGTATTACTTTTTAATCATTACTAGATTATCTCTCTAACCATGAGATTAATTGGTATTGTGTTGTTTTTTAAGAACTTGTGGATTCTATTCTAGGGATGGAACTCTGGGTTACACACTGGGCTGACGATCTCTGTGGGGTTTTCTTTAATTGGAAGTAATACATTCTTTGTGTCCACTCCATTCCTCCCCAGAAACCCATGTTGATGAGAGTCTGGCTGTGTAGTCTAGACTGGCCTCAAAGTGTCTATGATGCTGAAACTGGTCTCAAACTCCTGATTCTTCTGTGCCAGCCTCCCAAGTGCAGACTAGGCCTTTGCCACCTTGCCTGGCTACTGTCAGGTTTATTCTTCTTTTTCCTTTTCCTTCTCCTCTTCTTCCTCCTCCTCACTATGTAGCTGGAAATAACCTTTAATTTCTAATCCTCCTGCTTCAGCTTCCCAAATGTGGGCATCACAGACACGTGCTTTGATCCTTAGGGGCCTTCCTTACTTGGGCACGGCTTACTTTCCATCTCTCATTCTCCATCGTCTAGGGTCGTCTTGCTGTGCTGAGACAGCGTGTCACTATTTAGCACTGGCTGGACTGCAACTCATTATGTACTCCAGGCTGGTCTTGAATTTGCAGCTACCCTTCTGTTCTGTCTCCTGAGTGCTGAGATTGCACAGTCTGGCTTATTCAGGAAGTATTTTAAATCACAGATCCTGGGCTATGCTCCTACCAAATAATAAGAAGCTTTGGGGGTGAGACCTATGTTTTAATTTTTTAAGACTTGTTTTTATTTTATGCGTATGGGTATTTTGCCTGCAGGTATACCTGTGTAGAGGGCATCAGATCCCTGGAACTGGAGCTGCAGATGCTTGCTAGCTGCTATGTGAGTGCTGAGATTTGAACCTGAATCCTCTGGAAGAGCAGCCAGTATTCTTGACCTCTGAGTTATCTCTCTAGCCACATTCTGGCATACAGCCATGGTTAAGAATCACTGATGTAGTCCAGTGCGTCTCAAATATCAGCGTGCACAGGAATCACTTATGAGCTTGATAATACAGAGAGTCTAATGTAGTAGGTCTGGCTGGGCCTTGAGACTGCTTTTCCAACAAGCTCCCAGAGATGCCAGCACTGCCAGCCATGGTTCACACTTGTGTAACAGGAATACAAATAACATCATAATTTTCTGAGTTTTAAAGATTATATGGAATTCAGACATTCAAAGAGTATGTGGAATCCACGTAGCCATCTTACCCTGGTATGTTTTCAATACTAAATCTTATTACTTTTCAATCAATTGTACTCAGTCTGTGGTGGTGTAAGACTTTGTTTCAGGGATAAGGGAAGAGGATCGTAAGCTCATAGCTTGCTTAGGCTATGGAGTGAGTTTAAGGTCAGTCTGAACAACTTAGTGAGATGCTGTCTCAAAACACCCAGAATAAATAAAGAAAAAACAAGTTGAATGTAGCTCAGGGGTAGACCACTCATATAACATGCACGGGGCCCTGGCTTTGAAACCTAGCACTAACAAAATAAAAGTTGGTGGAAGAATCTCACAAGCTGCAGAGAGGGACGGACTGTGAGAACTGCATCGTTTTCCATTTGTTGGGTTGCGGGAAGGGTTGAGACAAGGCCTCTCTGTGACCCAGGATAGCCTGAACTTATTATTATCCCAGGTTGGCCTAGAATTTGTGGTGACTCTCCCGAATCCTGGTATTACTGGAGTATACCACTGTGCTCAGTTCATTTTTAAACATCTATGTGTGTATGTGTGTATCCTCTCGAATTTGTGTGTACCATATGCATGCAGAGGCCAGAAAAGGTGACTGGATCTGACACTAGAATTACAGTAAGTTGTCTGATATGGGAGATGGGAACAGAACCCAGGTCCTTGGAAAGAGCTAAGAACTCCTAACTGCCGAGCCATGTCCCCAGGCTTTGTCTGTTTGGCTTTTTTGTTTTAATTTATTTTTATTTATTTTTTAAATCAAATCATAATTTTTATTTATTCACACAGTGGTTATAAACACAGAAAGGCAGGACGTGGGGAAGGGGATGACACTGGAGTGTGGGTGTTCAGGGGGAATACAGAAATCTTTCAGAACAGAGTATCAGCTGGGTGAAGGTTCAGGGGACAGGTCACTATGACTCTGTCTATGATTCACTTGTCCTTATCTAAATTGGTATTATCCGTCAAAGCTACCTATTTACAAGGTCTATGACTATTCAGGCTGGTAAATTTCCACAAAAGCTGCCTGTTTACAATAACTTATAGCCATCTGTTTCAATGTTTTTCCACAGAGACCCAAGACTTGGTGTTAGTATACAACTGTTTGGCTTTTTTTAAAGACAGGGTTTTGCTATGAAGCCCATGCCGCTGTCCTGGAACTCACTATGAAGAGTCGCCTCAGAGGTGACCATCCTCCGTCTTAGTTTCCTTAGTGTAGGACCCCGAAGGGCTGCTATGCCCTGGCTGAGACTTTCCGTGTGTTGCTGTCTACTAAGTAACATTCTGCAGTTCCTCTAGGATCAAAACATCCTGACTAAGGCATGGTGCCCCAGGAAGGGAATTTACACTTGACATCCTATTGCCCCCTACCCCCAGTTGAGTTCCCGTTTTTTCCTGAGTTTGTGTTTTTCCTTCCCTGGCTTGGTGTATATATTGAATCTGCTCAGTAAAGGCATTGGCATTCTCTCACAATTTACTGGGGATAACCCGAGTCTGAGTATTTCTTTAATCCCCCAGGCCTACGCCCGAGCTCAGTACCGCAGTCAGTGCCAGAGCTGTCAGGTGGAGGTTCCACCGAGATCGGGAAAGAGAGGAGAACCTGACGGGATCGTTCCTGGAAGGATCTGGCTGGCCGGTTCAGAGAGTGGAACATATTGGAGAAGCGGCGCAGGATCAAACTGAAAGCAGTGCTACGAGAGTGTGAGCTTTGATCACACCATGGGAATTGTGAGTTCCTTTCTATGTGTATTGACACGGGATGATGCAGGTAAGGAATCCTTGTATGAGGTGGAGAATAGCTCCAGCTCTGAGGATGAGGAAGAAATTTTAGAAAGGAAAAATTGAAGAAATGCAAGGTCAGAAAATGGGAACGGGAGCCTGGAAAAGGGGAAGCAAGAGCGGACGAGCTACTCAGTTCCCTGGTGGCGGTGGTGGCAGCCCAGATGGCACAATGGCCGGGCCCAGGGCATTTCTGCTGCTGCTGCAGCAGTGGTGGCGTGCGGCTGCAGAAGCTGCAGAGGCCACAGTCCGCACCAGCCATACCGAATAAAACCAAGAAAGAGAAAGAACCACCAAAACTAGTGAAAAGTGGAAAAGGTTCAAAAGAAGGAGAAGGACAAGATACAGCCGAAGTAGAGATAGCCAGCAGGAAAAACAGCCTCGGAGCTGTCCAGTCTTCGACACCTACTAAAATAAAAGTACCAGTCCCTCAGCCAATCGTAGTCCCTGTGAAGAAAGACAAATGGCAGAACTCTTCACGGGTTAATGCCAGCAATAATACAGAACTGCAAAAATTCCCATCTTTGCAAGATGATCCTCCTGTGGGTCAAGAGAAGCTTTTTATCCAGAAGCTAAGTCAGTGTTGTATCCTCTTTGACTTTGCTTCTGACCCATTGAGTGACTTAAAATGGAAAGAAGTAAAGTGAGCTGCGCTAAGTGAAATGGTGGAACATATCACCCACAACCAGAACGCGATCACAGAGCCCATTTACCCCAAAGCTGTCCACACGTTTGCAGTTAATATGTTTCGAACCTTGCTACCCTCCTCCAATCCTATGGGAGCAGAATTTGACCCAGGAGGAGATGAACCAATGTTAGAAGCAACTTGGCCTCATCCACAGCTTGTTTATGAATTTTTCTTAAGATTTTTAGAGTCTCCAGATTTACAACCCAATATAGCAAAGAAATATATTGAACAGAAGTTTCTATTGCAGCTTCTAGAACTCTTTAATAGTGAGGATCCTTGGGAGAGAGATTTTCTAAAAACGACCCAGCACAGAATCTATGTGAAGTTCTTAGGCCTGCTCGCTTATATCAGGAAACAGATCAGTAATATATTTTATAGGTTTATCTATGAGACAGAGCACCACAATGGCATAGCAGAATTACTGGAGATCCTGAGAAGTATAATTAATGGATTTGCCTTACCATTAAAGGAAGAGCACAAGATTTTCCTGTTGAAGGTGTTGCTGCCCTTATACAAAGTGAGGTCCCTGAGTGTCTACCATCCCAAGCTGGTATACTATGTCATGCAGTTTTTAGAGAAGAACAGCACCCTCACTGAACCAGTAGTAATGGCACTTCTCAAATACTGGCCAAAGACTCACAGTCCAAAAGAAGTAATGTTCTTAAATGAATTAGAAGAAATTTTAGATGTAATTGAACCATCAGAATTTGTGAAGATCATGGAGCCTCTTTTCCGACAGTTAGCCAAATGTGTTTCCAGCCCTCACTTCCAGGTGGCAGAGCGGGCACTCTATAACTGGAATAATGAGCACATCATGAGTTTAATCAGTGACAATGCAGCGAGAATTCTGCCCATCATGTTTCCATCCTTATACCGCAATTCAGAGCCCTCCTGGGATACATCTTGCTTTCTCTCTGGCTCCTACTGGAGAAATTCTTAGTTCTGCTTTTCCTGTCTATTGTCTGTCCTTGGTGCACCAATCTGTTAATTGTCTGTTTTTGTTTCATTGTTTTAAGTTTAAAAAGTGTTTATTGGGTATGGTTAAAAATTCAACTTTGATAATAGAAATTTGGTTTAACTAGTAACTCAGGGCTGGAGAGATGGCTAAGCCATTAAAGGCCAGGCTATAGTGGAAAGAGCACATTTAACTTTGAAAAATTATCTTGAAAAAACAAAAAGAGGGGAGGTTACCTCATCTCATGCAAGGTTATCCTTTATTTTATATATTTAAAATTTTTTTATTAGTGGTTAACGATGCGTTGTCTGCAGGAGACAGACACTGGAAATGAGCCCAGAAGGCACTGGGCTTAGAGAAATGGAAAGGCCCTGACCCTGTATTAGTCAGGGTGAGAGGTTCTGTTTGTGTTTTTTCCTAAAGATGCTGAAACTCCTGTTTGGATTCCTGAGTGTTGTGTGCATCCTGTCACTACGCAACCTGCCCAAGTGGAGATCTACTGGAGCCTCGTGAAGAAACTCCCAGTTCTGATGTCAATGGGGATAAGCAGCTTGATCTGGCCAGTTATAGTTCCCATCAACAAGACTATTAGAAATGCTGCTGCTAATTCTGAGACATCAACAATCTTTTTATGTTAATTTTAATGTTACTTGTGTGCAGCCTCTCTATGGAGAGAAGTTTCTAGCAGGACTCAAACTGGCCAGAAGGCTCCTTAAAGGATGGGATAGAAGTCCTTGTCTCTGGGAGTCCTAGCCTTTGGGGCAGCCACAGCAGGATTGATATTTCTTTGCCGCCTTCACAGACAGCAGATCCAGTCCCAGGCAGTCACTAAGCAGGTGCTCATGTTGCTGGCACGAGAGAACCCTTCTGCCCAGGTTTGGCTCAGCCTTTACTGAGAATAGTTAGTCGATAACGGGCAACTCCTTTGCAGTCCTTACCTACCTAAGACAGGGGCCCTGAGGCTGGCAGGGATTCCCAATGACGGGTAGTTGGGATTGACGGAAGGTGACCTAAGACAGACGCTATTCGCCTATAAAATAAAAACAGGGGACTTGTAGGACCCCGAAGGGCTGCTATGCCCTGGCTGAGCCTTTCTGTATGCCGTTGTCTACTAAGTAACATTCTGCAGTTCCTCTAGGATCAAAGCATCCTGACTAAGGCATGGTGTCCCAGGAAGGGAATTTACACTTGACATCCTATTGCCCCCTAGTTGAGTTCCTGTTTTTTCCTGACTTTGTATTTTTCCTTCCCTGGCTTGGTGTATATATTGAATCTGCTCAGTAAAGGCATTGGCATTCTCTCACAACGGATGACCAGAGTCTGAGTATTTCTTTAATCCCCCAGGCCTATGCTTGAGCTTGGTACCGTGGACAGTGCCGGAGCTATTACCTTAGTGCTGGGATTACAGGTCTGTGCCATTATGCTCAGGCGATATTGTTATATCTATGGAGAAACTGAGGTCCAAAGAGGCTTGAGCTACTCTCTGTCTTCTATGTGAATGACATACATATCATATGTCATGACAGTCACACGACTTTTCCAATGCTCAGGAATTTTTTCTGCGACCCTAAGGGAAATGATTTCATTAAGGAACCTGAGGGCTAGAGAGATGGCTCATTTACTTAGAACCCTTCCTACCCTCACATAGGACTGGAGTCCCTAATATAGCACCCAAGTCAGGTGACTAACAACTGCTCGTCACTTCAGCCCTGGGAGATCTGATGCCGTTGGTTTTTGAGGGCAACTGTGTTTACACATACCCATACACATACCCATATAGAGACATGAACACATACATGCACAGTTAACTAAAAAAAATAAGTAAGACTCTGAAAACAAATAAAAATAAAGGAAAGAAAGAAAAAAGGAAGGAAGGAAGGAAGGAAGGAAGGAAGGAAGGAAAAGAAACCAAGCCTGGCACTGTAGTGTGTGGTGTATGCCTATAATCCCAGGGTTTGGGAAGTAGAGACAGGATGGTAGCAGTTCAAAGTCATCCTCAAATACACAATGAGTCAGAGGCCAGCTTGGGCTGTAAAAGACCTTTTTTCAAAGAACCAGCAGGAATATGGCTGAGGAGCCACAGATGTAGTCACTCAGTGGAAGTGGACAGGAGAAAACATCACCCAAGAGCCAAGTTTTGGAATTCAGACATGTCCCTTTGAGAATTATCACTTGAGTCTTAGGAGGGCTCCCTTTCTCTAGTTACTTGGCAGAAGTCCCTACCCCAGATGAAGTGCTCCACCCCTGGCCTTGGAGAAGTGGAGAACACCAGCCAAGTTGCCTTCCAAAGGAGATCTCTGTGAAAACAGAGCTGGCTTAGAAACCATAGGGTCCCGGTCTGTTCCCAGGCCATCACCAGGGCTGCCATTACCATACGCCTCAGACTGGGTGGCTGCAGCACCAGAAGGCTGATTTCTTAGTTCTGGAGGCTTCAGGCTGGCTAGCAGGCAGCTTTGCTTTCTCCAGAGCCATGACCCCTTGATGTGCCCAGGCTCACTTTCTTACTGAGTCCTTACACAGCCCTTTGTCTGTGTGCGTGCATTCTGGCACCTCTTCTCCTTCAGGCTCCAGGCTTATTGGGTTAGGCCTCCAGACTTGTGACTTCACTTGGTCTTAATTACTTCTCCTGTCTACTTCCACTGAGTGACTACACTGTGGCTCCTCAGCCATGTTTCTCACTGGTTCTTTGAGAAAAGGCCTTGTACAGCTCAAGCTGGTCTCTAATTCATTCTGTATGTGAGGGTGACCTTGAACTACTGATCATCCTGTCTCCACTTCCCAATTACCTCCCAGACAGATACCATGGGGGTCAGGGCTGCACTATATGAACTTAAGGATATGATTCAGGCCATGACCAGAGCCAAGTGGGTCTTTATAACCCTGAGAATAAACAGAGGCCTGGCCTGTAAGTCCTGGTCAGGAGCATGCTGTGTCGCTGTGTCTCTGCCAAGCTCCATTTCTAGTTTCTCCTTCTAGTCACTTATGTCACAAATAGTTACAGAATTCTTTACATTTTTATGTTATTCCAGACTTTCTAGGTTTAAAGTTATAGATGGTTGTGAGCCACCATGTATGTGCTGGGGATTGAACCTGGGTCCTCTAGAAGAGCAACCAGTGCTCTTAAACACCAAGGCATCTCTCCAGCCCCTTTACTGAGTTCTTTCAAGTCAAGTTCTCTGAAGAGGCTGCATCCACCTAGAAGAACCTGAGGATGTTCGGCCTTAACTCACTAGATCATCATGTTATGGAGAGCTGTGATGTTGCAGATCCAGAGCTGAAGCTCCCCTGGGCTCTGCTAGGCTTCCAATACTCACGTATCGTCAGTCTCTGGATCTTACCTAACATCCTAGGCTTCCAATACTCACGTATCGTCAGTCTCTGGATATTACCTAACATCCTGGTGATCAGTGGATGCAGTTTTGGATCACAAAGCCTGACAAAGGAAGGCTTTACAGCAACCTTGAAGCCGGAAACTAAGAATGCTATAAAGTAACATTTATGGGTTCAGCCCTAGGACAGGGGGTGGGGTGGAGTGTGGAGGTGGGGTGGGGTTGGGGGATAACAAAGATGACACTTAACAGAGCAGAAATGACCTTGCATGTCTATAGCTCACCTAACCTTGATTCCACAGATGTATTTGGGAAACAATGATTCATGCTATGCCTTTGTTTTGTTCTGTAACTGTGAAGGTTCGTGTCATTTCTTCCATGGTGGAGCTAGTCATTCAAGCTAACTTAAAATCATGCTCCTCAGCCAGCCGTTCTCAATCTGTGAGTCATGACCCCATGGGGGGTAGCATTCAGATAGCCTGTATATCATATATTTACATTAGAATTCATAACAGTAGCAAAATTAGTTATGAAGTAGCAATGAAATAATTTTATGGTTGGGAGTCACCATACCATGAGGGACTCTATTAAAGGGTCACAGCATTAAGAAAGTTGAGAACCACAGTCCTAGGCCAACTCACCTTTGACCATAATAAACTATGGTCTTCTGTTGAAGCTGCCAGGCCCTGTGCCAGTGCCAAGGATACGGGCACTTTAGGCACTGACTACAGTGCAGTGTGGCAGAGGTGTGGTCACAGTGAGGCAGGGCTATGAAGACAGAGGCTCCCAGCCGGACTGATAAGGCACACTGTTAGACCCAGGCATATCAGAGAGCTCCCTAGAGGAGGTGACACTGGAGCCCAGCCTGAAAGGGGTCATCACAGAAGATTGGCTTGGAATTTGTTTAACCAGACTCCAAAAGGCCCTTATTTGATTAGACTAAGGCAGAAGGGTAACTTAGTTTACTCCAGGTGTGGTCCACAGTTCAGAAGAACTGCCATTCAATTGGTAGCGTGCTTGCAGAGCATGCTCAAAGCCCTGGGTTTGATCCCAAAGTTCCACATAAATTGGATACAATGGCTCAGGTTTGTAATCCCAGCACTCTGGTAGAGGTAGGAGCAGAGATACAAGGTCATCTTTGGCTCTGTATTAAGTTGGGGCCATCTTTGGCTGTGAAAGACCATATTTGGAAGAAGTAGATGAAGAGAATGAGGAGGAGGAAGGAGAGTCTTAGATAAAAGTATAAAATCTCACGGTCCCTTCCAGATTCCCAGCGTCAAAAGTCATAACTAAGCAGGGTTCCGACTGGGAGTGAACGCGGACGTTTGAGGACTGGAGATGAAGCTTAGTTGGTAGAGCATTCGCCTAGTGTGTATGAACCTGGTTCAGTCCCTAGCACTGTAAACACCAGGAGTGGTAGTCCACTTCTATAATCGTAGCACTGGGAGGTAAGGGAAGGATGATACTGAGTTCAAGGCTATCCTTAGCTACACAGTTCAAGGCCAGCCTAGGCAAGAAGAGTTCCCAGCTCCAGACAAAACAAACCCACCAGATTCCGTGGGCCTTTCTAGTTCTTTTCAATGTTTAGTGCCTTTTGATTTATCATGCCTCAATGCCAGCTCACTCTTCCCACACCCTCTCTGTTTTCTTCTCTCCCTAAAGATCTGATACCCTCTACTGGCCTCCACAGGGACCAGGAATGCGTGTGGCACCCATAAGTACACACAGGTTAAAATACACTCCTACACATAAATAAAAATAAATCAATCTTTTTTTAAATGCAACTTGCTGGACTGGGCCATGGCTCAGTTTCTAAAGCCCCTGCCAAAAAAGTATGAATGCTAAGTTCAGAACCCACCACTCACATAAAAACAGGGTGCAATAGCACACATCTGTACCCCAGTACCAGATAGGTGGATCCCAGTAGCTCATTTGTCCAGCCAGCCTTATAGAATCAATCAAGTGCAGGCTCAGTGAAAGACTTGGTCTCAAAAAATCAGGAGGGGATTGCTATGGGGGCGCTCTAATCCCACACTAGGAAGCAGAGCCAGGTAGGTCTCTGTGAGTTTGAGGTCAGCATGGCCTATGTAGGCCAGAAAGGGCTACACAGAGAGACTCTGCCTCTAAAAATAAGCACCCTCTCCCCCCCCAAAAAAACACAGAAAGCTCATGAAAAAAATCAAATGCATATTTTAGGGACCCCAGAGATGTGTGAGAGAAAACATTTTAAGCAAATTTCCTTTAAGTGACTATGAGTCTATAGCTTCAGCAAAAGGGACAGGGGTGACCTCCATGCTGTACCTGCTGGTGGAACCTCCTTTTCCATGGACTCAGAGACAGGGAATCCCAGGGTGGAGTCCACCTCCTTCTTACCCTCTGCCACAATGTTTCTTCTTCACAGATCGTAATCTGTCATTTAGTCTCAGAAGGTCTCTAGTCTGTGAAAACATTAAGATCTGGTGTCTATTTCAGATTCATAGCAGGCCCAGGTTCTAGACAAAAGTATCTAGTTTCGTGGTGAAGACAGAGCTTTGTGTTTTCTGGCACTGTTGATATGGGGGAGTACAGGACGCCAGGGAACAAACCCTTCCTGCAGTCTGAGCTACAGGCCTGCCCGACCCAGCAGTGTGTGCCTCACACTGCACACACGTGCCTGGAGCTGGAGGCCTGAAGTCCAACCGTGGCTCTGCCTGCTGAGCAACCCTACCCAGAGAAGGCCTAAGTGGCCGAAAGCGCCTACTACCAAAGGACCACACCAAGCTCTGAGGGGACATTTACCCAGGGGTAGCTATTGGGTTTGCACAAAGGTTCCAATCAGTTAATGGTGGTCTACCAATCTGAGTACTGGAGAGTAATCCAACCCAGATTAACTCACTTTCCTGTACTTCACAAAGCCAGTCAAAAACGGCCAATGAACAGTGTGTGTGTGTGTGTGGTTTACAGGCCAGCCAGCAGGTTCACCCTAGCAAACATAATGGCTGGTCTCTATCACCTTCTTACTGAAGGTTGTCAAGGTGAGCTGTCATTATAGGAAGAACTGAAAGTCCTGGTGTGTTCTTCCCTTTCCTGGTGTGATGGCTCCCTGCTGTGTGTTGACGCTCATGTGTAAAGGGACAGATCATGTTGCCACATGGCAGAGGAAGGACCCTCATACAAAGTGAACACTCTGCAGGAGTGTTCTAGACTCCTCAGCTTCTCAGATGGCTTGGCTGACTTGGAAAGTTGTGTCTTCCTTATCTCAACCCTCCCATCGGCCCTGACTAGTCTGATGCGGAGTGCTCCTTTTTCTCTTGTGAGACAGGCTCTCCGGTGAACAATAGGCTGGCTTCAAGCTCCTCATCCGCTGCCTCGGCCTCTCACACACTGGGCTATAGGCCTGAGCCGCCATGCTTGGCTCCGCTACTCTTACTCCTATTATAATCAACATCTTTTTATTGTTTTAGGAGTGGGGGAGGAGTTAAGACAGGGTGTCACCATGTAACTCAGCTGGTCTGGAACTCTCTTTGTAGACAGGCTGGCCTCAAACTCCCTAAGTCTCTTCCTTTTTGCTCTCTGGATTTGTATCCCCACACCCCTGTGCTTCTCTCTATTCTGAGACAAAGCCATGTCAAGGAGCCCTGGATGGCTTGGAATTCAGTGTAGAGCAGGCCAGTCTCCAATATGCAACATTTTCAACTGGGGCCTCATATAATTAAGAAGCTTCTGTTCACACAAAGGTAATAGTTTATTAAATGAAGAGTCAACCCACAGAATGGAACAAAATCCTTGCTAATAATCTGACATGGATTGTTATCTAGAATATAGAAAGATTTGATTCCCAGCACCTGTATCAGGTGACTCAAAACCACCTGCAACATCCAGTTCCAGGATATCTGATGCCTCTGGTCTCCACAGGCACCCGCATGAGCAAGCATGTGAGTGTGCATGCACACATGCACACACACATGCTTAAAAAGTGTAAAATAACAAGAAATTAAAGAAATCAACTAATAAATAGGCAAATGAAATGAATGGATAGTTCTCCAAAGATGACGTACAGAGCCAGGGAGATGCTCAGTCAGTAACAGGCCTGTCCTGCAAACATGAGGACCCGAGCTCACACCCCGAACCCATAAACAATTCCAGATGTGACAGATGCTTGTCATCCCATTGCTGGAAAGACAGAAGGACTGTTGGAACTCACTGGACAGCCAAACTAACCTGTCTGGTGACCCCCAGGCCAATGAAAGACTCTGTCTCAAAGGGGACAGATGACACCTGAGGCTCTCCCTGGCTTCCTTCCACACACATGCCTGCATGTGCACCTCATACATGAACACACACACACACATTTTAAAAAGATGAAATGCAAAGGGTCAATATAAATATGAAGAAATTCAACCCTTGCACAAGAGAGATGTAAATTAAAACATTAAGATTCTATCTTAGCCCAATCAGAATGGCAATTATTAAGAAAACAAGTAACCAGTGTTGCTATAGAGGCAGACAAAGGGAACCTTGTATACTGTTACTGGGAATGTAAAATGTTACTCTATGGAAGTCTATAGAGGTTCATCAAAAAGCTAAAAGCAGATCTTCCATAGGACTCAGCTGTAGCTGGCTTTAGCTACTTTGTGGGTTCTTCTCCCACTGCTTGCCGTAGGAAAACTCTGCTAACTAAGGTCAAAGTTCACCATACTCCCTGCAAAGTGTGAGACTCTCTTGTTAGCAGGTTTTCGCCTTCTCTGACTCTGTCGGGAAGACTCTATGCCCTCATGCTCACCTCTATCTGAGAAAAGTCACGTAGCTTAAAAACCTGGAGTTCTCCATGCTAACAAGGCAGGCCCTTGATAGGCCCTAAGTATTCAGCCAATAAGATTCCCTTCCTGGGCATTCCTTCCTGAAAAAAGTATTTAATCTCTGGCTCACCTTGTGTAAGTTGCATGCATTCACGTTCATCATCAATCAAAACTGTATGCAAACAAGGACCATCTGCAGGGGAAGGCCTTCATAAAGTGCCCTGCCTAAATCTCCCAGAGAAGGCCTTCTTTCTCTCAGCCCCTCAAGTACTCAATGAAAACCAAACCAGATTCCTCCTCAACCCAGACCCAGCCTTCCCTTTCAAATGGATGCCCTGAGGGGAAGCAAGGACCCCCTCCCATTCCCAAACCCCAGCTTTACCCCAGAAGCACCTGGGTGCACAGGAGACTGGGAAACACAGCAGTCATCTCAAATCCCATTGTTTCCTACCAGAGAAAACAGGGACTGAGGACTCCCATTACAGAGGACTGTGTTCTGCCTCCCTGGAGTAGCTTGTTGGTGGTGCTCAGGCAGTGCTCCAGTGGTGCTCCAGGCACCCCTACTCTGAGGCAGACACTTAACCTGGCACTTTGACACCCCCTTTCTTCCATCCTTTTAACATCCTAACACTAGATAGGACAGAAAAAAGGAGAGGAAAGGAAAGTGCTCCCAGAACAAAGGCAGGCGTTGGAAAGGGGTGGCATTATCATTAGACCACTTCCTGCTGGTTAGGGCTTCAAGTTCCTTGGGGCAAGTTTGATCTTCACACTCAGGATATCTAATTTCTTCTTGCGGTTTCTTCTTTGTGCAGGTCTACTTAACAAACCACAACCACCAACAAACAGCAACCCACCATAGCTTTTGGGACCCTAGCACCCACATAATCTCTGAAAAGTTCCCAGAATTCCAAACATCATGCAATTGCAGAAACTATCTGCAGCTGGCAAAATCACAACCTTTTCTAGAGCACGAGACAAATCATAGTCAGCTGCTGTGGACAGTCTGAAGCAGCCCCATATCCCAGACCTGGGACTAAAATGAAAACATTATTATAATTATTTTATGTCTTTTAAAGAAACCAAAATCCTAAAATGGCTGCTACACTCAGCTCTAGCACTTCTGTGTATTTAGCCAAAGGACTCAAGTCAATAATCCCTGTAACTCTAGCTCCAGGGGACCCCACACCCTTCTTCTGGCACTGGTGGGCACTTGTATACACAGACACACATGCATACATCAGAAGTTTTAAATAAAACTTTCTTAAATTTTACAAGCAGAAAAGAGAGTCTTGATTTAATTTATAATTATTTCTAGTTATAATTGGCCATTTTGGTAGCAGCTGTTAACTCTTCAGGGAATCACCTCATTTTGCCAATCTTGATCATGCCTGGCAAGATATTAGGAAGAAACCGTGTTCATGTTCTCGGTGGCAGTACCCAGGCCACAGCTTCCTTGTGAAAATGTGGGAAGATTCCTCCTAAACAACCATGGTAGCTGTCACATTCATGGCTCCCAAAGCCTCTCCCTGTGTCCTAGTCAGGGATGCTGTGATGAAACCATGACTGGAAACAAAGAAAGGAGTTGACTTACATTTCCATGTTCACCTGTCCCAACTGTTCATCATCGAAGAAAGCCAGGACAGGAACTCAAACATGGCAGGAACCTGGAGGCAGGAGCTGATGCAGGGGCCGTGAGGAGTACTGCTTACTGGTTTGCTCATACTAGTGTGCTCAGCCTGCTTTCTTATAGGGCACAGGACCACTAACCCAGTGATGGTACCACCCACAATAGGCGGGGCCCTCCCATATCTTTAGTTGAGAAAATGTCCTATGGGCTTGCTTGCCTATCCCCTGTTCTTTTGGAGATCTTTTCTTTTTTCCTTTTTCCTTCCTTCCTTCCTCCCTTCCTTCCTTCCTTCCTTCTCTCCTTCCTTCCTTTTTTTCATTGTTGTTGTTGTTTTGAGACAGGGTCTCACTATGTAGCTTGGCTCTAACTGTCCTTGTAACTCACTATGTAGACCACACGAGATCCATCTGCCTCTGCCTCTCTCTGCCTCTCTCTCTGCCCCTCTCTGCCCCTCTGCCTCTGCCCGTCTGCCCCTCTGCCCCTGCCTCTCAAGTGCTGAGATTAAAGGTGTGCACCACCACATTGGTCTTGGAGGCATTTCCTTAGCTGAAGTTCCCTCCCCTCAGATGACTTTAGCTTGTGTTAAGTTTACATAAAATTAGCCAGCACTCTCCTGTCCAAGTGCGTCTGTTTGATCCTCTGCTATGAAGCCATGGATGATGTCATTCCCTACCTCCCAGCTTGTACCCACACTGCCATCTCTCCCAGGCTTGCGTTCCAGCTACAGTGACTCCACAGGGCTCTGTACCCTCATGGTACCCACTGAACATGGAACAAAATGTCACACATCTGAAAAGAGTAGGGAGGAAAACTGAAGACATGTCTAACTTTATTTGGTTTTGTTTTTTGGGACAGGGTTTCTCTGTGTAGCCCTGGCTGCCCTGGAACTCACTCTGTAGACCAGGCCTGCCTCTACCTCCCGGCTGCTGGGATTAGAGGCATGTGCCACCACTACCCAGCCAAATTTTATTTCTAATAAAATATTTGGTCATAGAAAGAGAAT